AARAAAAAAAAAACAAAAATTGCACCTTTGAAATATAAAATAAACAATTATAAACAAAGATAGCCCAGCAATAGTTTTACTGAATTGCATTTATAGAACATGTGAATTTAATAAATTATGCTATTTTATGCATAATATCAAATTAATCYCTCAGGTTGAAATTCTCATGTAACTTTTTATTTTAGTCAGTATACTAAATTGGAGAGAAAAGAATATAAAGTAATTTTAATTATATGATTTTTTTTTATCACTAATGATTAAAGACTAATGAGAAAAAATTCTATTGTTTTATTTTCCAGTTTAGGCTTAGAGAAAATCTTTATTTTTATATTTCCATTTTTCTGCTTATTTCCCCCTTTGCTCTAGGGAGTGAACTGGGGAAGTGTACTGGGGCCTCACACATGCTGTGAAAATGCTTTACCACTGAATTAGGGAGTGAACTGGGGCCTCACACATGCTGTGAAAATGCTTTACCACTGAGCTATTTCCAAAGCCCCTTTTCTGCTTTTATAAAATTGAAGAAATAAAATCCTAACGTCTGATAGATTCATGTATCTATGTGTATATATATATATATATATTTGCATACTATTATGTTTACTTGTAAAAATATTATTGTTTTCAGGATTGTGCATATATGCCTTTACAGTTTACTTTAGAGAATTTTTTTAGGTTTGATTATATTTTTGTGAAAACAATGCTGTAGTGAAACAAGTATTAGTGATTTCTTTTTAAAAAATGTGGTAGGTCTGGGGATGTAGTTCAGTGGTTGTGTGCTTGCCTAGCTTGTATGAAGTCCTGCATTCAATCCCCTGTATCACTGAAGCAAAACAAACAACCAAAAAAAGCTTCTGCCCCCCTCCCCAAAGCTAATTTGTCTATATAGTGTTGGAATTTGAAATATTAAAGTAGTTTTCTTCATTTTTCAAATTTAAATCTGTGTGGTGGCCAACTATGATAATGTGAATATAATTCAGCAACATTTCTGTACTTTCTTATTTCTGTAGCTGGGCAGATGCTCAAACTCAAATCCAAAACATCGCTGCATCTTTTGACCAGGAGGCAGCTGCCATTCTTATGGCCCGGCTAGCAATATATAGAGCAGAAACAGAGGAAGGACCAGATGTGCTCAGATGGCTGGACAGACAGCTCATTCGACTGGTAAATAAACATTGTGCTTTTCTAATAAACGTATGTTTTCATTTGAAATTTGTTTGCTGTATCTCCTTAAAAGTACTTAACAGTAACCCTGAAATACTATATGAGGGATTCCTATTCAAATTACTGAGACAATACCATAGTAATGATAGTAAAATTCAGTAATAACTTCCAGTAAAAGTGAATTCCTTTTTTTCCTTAACATGAAAGAATGGCAAGTATGTAACCTATATTTTTCTATTGATTTTAGTTGGTATGAAATTAGTTTGAAATTTAATTAGATATTACTGTAACTGCTCTTACTACTTTTTTTGTGTATTCATTGCTATGGTGTTAGTTTTATTTCTGTTTTATATTGAATGGAACTTCATATTGTAAATACATCTTTTAAAAGTAAGTGAAGTATATATAAGTTAGACATATTAAATATAGAAATATAGGCAAGTATCAATTACAAATTACATAGATTACAAATATATGCTAGTAAAATGATTGGTGTTGATTTACTTGATTTTGTAAACATACCAGGAACCCATTTCTCACATTGTGACCTAGAAGGCTTTATTTATTTATTTATTTATTTAACTGTTTATATATATATATATTTATATATAAAATATATATGTTTTATACACACACACACACACACACACATATTTATTTTTTTAGGTGTAAATGGACACAACACAATGYCTTTATTTTTATGTGGTGCTGAGGATCGAACCTGGATCCYGCCTGTGCTAGGGGAGTGCTCTACCGCTGAGCCACAATCCCAGCCCCAAGAAGGCTTTATTAATGTTCTACTTTTCTTCTCTGGCCAGTCATTTCCTTGAAAGTACTTCTGCATTCACTCTTCAGCTTGAATACCCTATGGAGAGCTCTGTTAAGCTATTGAGTACAAGAGACAGCTAACTTGCTTTTAAACTATCAAATAGGTTGTGCTTTATTTCATGTAGTTTTAAAAATAGTCTTGAGTGAACTAACCTTTGTTTAGTAAAGTTAGTCTCTCTCTCTCTCTTTTTTTTTTTGCAGTACTTGGGATAGTATTAATTTCCTTACACATGTTAGGCTAGTGCTCTACCACTGAGTTACATCCCAGCTCTTTTTTATTTTTTATTTTTGATACAGAGTTTGGCTGGGTTGCCCAGGCTGGCCTTATTCTCCTCCCTCAGCTCCTGAGTAGCTAGAATTGTGGATGTATGCCACCACATCTAGCATTAGCTATTTTTTTTTCACTTTCATCTTTATTTATAGAACATGTGAATTTAATAAATTATTTTATGCAAAATATCAAATTAATCCCTCAGACTGAAATTCTCACTCAACTTTTGGTTTTAGTCAGTATATTAATGTAGAGAGAAAAGAACACAAAGTAATTTTAATTATGTGATTTTTTTACAACTAAGATTGAATTAAAGACCAAGGAGAAAAAAATTCTGTGAAGCACCTCTCTGTAGAAAACAGTGTTATGACAGTATTAGTGTATCTTTTTTTTTTTTTTTTTTTTAAACAGAGATTTAACTTCTCACAGAGTCAGCCATTGATGGGACACTATCAGTACAAATGCCAACACAGTTCTTCAGAGGTAGACCTTTCATTCCAGATAGGAAGATAAATCATTAAATATATTTTGACCTTTATTTGTTTTGGGCAATAGAGAAGATTATCTTTGCATTAGCAAAATTTTCTGGAATTTTACTATCATTTAAAAACCTGCCATGACATTGGTAAAACCTGTAAACTTGTCATTCTGAATAGGGAAATTGTTATTTGCCTTATTACACAAACTTCTTTAGCATTATGTGAAATGTCATCAATTCTTTGGCTGATACTGTTTTATAATGAAACCTGTGTTTTGGAGTGCTGAATATTGAACCCAAGGCCTTTTGTACACTAAGTACGTGTTATACCACTGAACTACTCTCCCAACCCTCTAAAATGGAATTTTTTGATTTCCCCAGATTGCATTCTGTCCTAACATTTTATTTACTATTCTTTTACATGTTGGCATTGCTAGTTTCTTACCAATTCTTGTAAGATTGAGAAAAATAGGATAATTGCTAGAGTTGCCCTGTATTCAGGGAAATGGAAAACTTCATAGTTTATAGTTTTGCTATATGAATSTGTATAGCCTTTATAAACATCTTTATAACCATGTGTGTCAAGGAAGTTGTTGACTACATCAAAAACTTAAAAAGTATATTTTACTTAGAAATATCTCAGAATTTATTCTAAAATTACAATAGGATAAATGAAGATGCCAATAATGAGGGATTGATTGGTTAAGATAGTTATGGAATATGTCAGTATTGCAATGCTAGTCAGGCATTAAAATTGTAGTAGTAATAAGAGTATTTAATAACATGAAAGAAATGTTCACAATTAAAGCAGAAATTTTTGGCATAAGTATCAGATACTTCCAACTCTGGGATTTTTTTTTTTTTTTTTGGTACTGGGGATTGAACTCAAAGGTGTTCTATCACTAAGCTATTGTCCCAGCCCTTCTTTTTTTTAAATTTTGAGACAGGGTCTTGCTAAATTGCTGAGGCTGGCTTTAAATTTGTAATGCTCCTGCCTCAGCCTCCTGAGTAGCTGGGATTACAGGCATGTTCCCACTGTGCCCAGCTCAGTAATCCTTTGTTTCCCTCATTATTATAACATCAGGTTTGCCTAATACATTATTTTAACAGAATTTGGGGCACATTTTGACAGGTTATGGTTAATATTGTGGCTGATAGCCTGACATACTGACTTTTTCACAAAATCTATTCAATATACTTAGTATTCTAGATTTTTTCAAGTATATATGATATTCTATCATCACTATCCAGAAGTTTACACAATGTTAGAAATGCACTATTACAGAACTGGTACCCACATGTAGCTAATCAACACTTGAAATTTGGCTAGTGCAATTGAGGAACTGACTTTCTAATTTTTATTTGATTTTAATTAATTTAAATTGCCACATGTAGCTAGTGGCTATCATTGGGCAATGACAAATTTATTAATTTGCCAGTGAAGCATTATAAGGGAAAATTAAAGATAGCAATGCTCTTATTCTCAGATCCGGAGTGTTTTTTTTTTCAAGGATTAACTCTATTACTATGGCTTCTTTCCTTCTTGCCTGCCTGCCTGGGATTGAACCCAGGGCCTCTCACATGATAGGCAAGTAGCTGGGTGTGGTGTTGCATGCCTGTAATCCCAGTGACTTGGGTTGCTGAGGCAGGAAGAACACATGTTTGAGATCAGCCTCAGCAACTTAGCAAGACCCTCAGCAACTTAGAGAAACCCTCTCAAAATTAAAAAAGGACTGGTTTCCTCAGYGGTAAAGGGACCCTGGGTTTAATTCCTAATACCAAACAAAGCAGAACGAAAAATAGGCAAGTGCTCTGTAACTGAGCCTCCATCTATAACTTTTTTATCCTTGGATAACTCTGATTCTGAAATGATTTTTTCCTGGAAGCTAAAATTAGATTAAGCCAAATATGCCTTTTACTTTCTTTGTAGGGCACAAATAAATGATAGAGCTGAACATTCCAGGTAGCAAAAGTCCTGCACAACTCCTAGCAGTGAACCTTTTGTTACTTTTTGCTTATTACATTTTACCTGTTGTTTTTGTCCTTAACTCATATGCAACTATGGTAAACATTTCCAGAAGACAGAAAGTTACATAAGTCTTAAAAACTTTTCATTTATGGCATTTGCATGTGAATGGATGGAACTAGAGAACATCATGATAAGTGAAATAAGCCAATTCCAAAAAACCAAAGGCCARATGTTTTCTCTGATAAGAGAATGCTGATCCATGGATGGGCCCCAGGGGTGGGGTGGGGTGGTAGGGAAGATTGAAAGAATTTTGGATTGTGCAGAGGGGAAGGGTGGGGCAATGGGGATAAGGATGATAGAATAAGACGACATTATTACCCTATATACATGTATGGTTGACGTGATTTTCTGCACCAGGTACAGCCAGAGGAATGAGAAGTTATGCTCCATTTCTGTACAATGTGTCAAAATACATTCTATTCTCATGTATAACTAATTAGAACAAATTTTAAAAAAAGTAGAAGGGAGACCAGTAGAATAGAAGAAGGGGATCAGGGGGAGAGAGATATGGGTGGGAAAGGGGAGGTACTGGAGAATGAAATTGATCAAATTATACTTGTTTTATTGTGTGCATGTATGAATATATTATAACACCCCCCCCCAAAAAAAAAAAAAAAAAACCTTTTCAGGGCAGAGACTTTTTACTCAAGAATAAGAAAAATTATGATTTATTGAGTGCTTTAGTAAGTGCCAGTCATTGTGCTAGGCAGTTTGTCTTAYAGATAATCTTACTTAATTCCCTAGATGCCTTTTGTTATGTTATCATAGCCTACTTCTCTGTTGCCAGTGTATGTCCCTCTTTACATTTTCTAATTTCTGACTTTTTTCTTTATCAGATTTCCTGTTCGTCTTTCTGATTTTCTTTTCCTCACCTCTTCTTTCTTTATGGTATTTCTGATATATCAAATTTTGTACCAGCAATGTACTTTTATAGCTACTCTGGTATTTTGATAGGCATCTTTCCTTTAGTTGGCTAATATCTTTTTTGGTTAAGTGTTAGGGAATTTTTTTTGGCCAGTGTCTAGGAGTTCTTTATTTATTAAATAAACAGAGATACTTACTTAAACAAATCCAAACATTTTAGGGTGAGTTGTTACTATACTATTTTTGTTTCTGGAATTCAAATGTTTTCTTTTTGTTGTAATCAGTCTCTTGCTAAATGTATATGTAATATTCCAATTTTATCCTATATCAAGTATCCACCTCCTAAAAAGTAGTAACTTCTTGTAAATAGAATATATAGAGGCAACAAGTTTTGGCTCTGATAGCAGAAATTCATTACTAACATATTATATTTTATTTTTTTTAGTGTCAGAAATTTGGAGAGTATCACAAAGATGATCCAAGTTCCTTTAGATTTTCGGAAACTTTCTCTCTTTATCCACAGGTAAGTAGATAAAATTCTTGTCTTGCATTGCCAGTAGCATTTTGTCTTACTTTTTTTTTTTTTTTTTTTTTTTTTAATACTAGGGATTGAACCCATGGGTGCTTAATCTCTAAGCCATATCCCCAGCCTTTTTTATTTTGAGACAGGGTCTCGCTAAGTTGCTTAGGGCCTTATGAAGTTGCTTAGGCTGGCTTTGAACTTGCAATTTTCCTGCCTCAGCCTTCTGAGCTGCTAGGATTAAAGGCATGTGTCACCATGCCCAGCTATTATTTATCTTTTATTACTCATCTTATAAGACCTATTTTTTTGGAAATATTTTTTTTAGTTGTCAATGGACCTTTATTGATACATGGTGCTGAGAATCGAACCCAGTGCCTCACACATGCTAGGCAAGTGCTCTGCTACTGAGCTACAACCCCAGCCCCATAGGACCTATTTTTATTGAGTTATTCTTTTGATTAGGTAACTTTTGGGATAGCTAAGTAATTAATACTATTCGGTCAGTACTGAATGAAAAGTCTATAGTGTTTTTATATTTTGCTCTTACAAATAGTCATTTATTTGTGGAATACAGATTTATAATGAAACCCTACTGTTACTACAATTGGGTGTAAGTGATTAGCTTTCCATCTGATATAACAGGTTCTAATTGCAGTGATACCACAAGGACTTTTTTTTTTTTTTTTCTTTTTGTGTTGCTGGGGGTTGAACCCAGGGACTTGTGCATGCAAGGCAAACACTCTACCAACTGAGYTATATCCCCTCCCCCTACAAGGACTTTTTGTGAGGTAATTTTACCAATTAGTTAGACTTACAGCATGTTATCGTCACCTCGGAACAGTTTTGTGGGGCCATACCAGGTAAAGAAACTAACTTGATTTACCTTATGAACTTTTTCCACTGGGCATAGTGGAATCTGTCCCCTTATCTATAAACTCTAGGTTGTTTATATAATAAATAACAGAACATTTATTCAACTGAGTACTGAATGAATGATGATGATGACCTGGATCCCACTTTGAAGGAGCTTCAGTCTAAAGGGTAAAATCTGATATATACCCAAACAACACAGAAGAAAAAGTGAAAAATGCTATGAAAGGCATACAGAATTTAAAGACAACTTAAAGAAATTCTTTCAAATGAATGGTTTGATACATCTTTATAGAGGGTGACATTTCAGCTCAACCTAGAGGGATGATAGATGTTGAGATATGGAAATTCAAGTTTTTGCCCTTAAAAACTTTGTGTGAAAGCTAGATTCTGGGGCTGGGATTGTGGCTCAGTGGTAGAGTGTTTGCCTCACCTATGTGAGGTACTTGGTTCAATCCTCAGCACTACATAAAAATGAATAAAGATTAAAAAAAAAACAGAGCAATAATGCATTGCTATGCTTAATTGTGTTAATAATGTCCAAGTCAAAATAAAATTCATTTTTAAAAAAAAGCTAGATCCTTTGTTGATTTGTGATCCAGAAACTCCATTTTTTTTTTTAAACAAAGGGAGACTTTTCTAAACTAATGAGGTTTTAGAGAATTAAGGAAAAAAGCAGGATCTATTTGTCTTAAGGCATGCAAAGTCCTTTCTGTTTTGGGAATTCTGAGGCCTTATCTTTGTTATTGAAAAAAAAAAAAAAGCAAAATGAATGTGGGCATTAGCCTATATGTTAGACTAAGTTTTTCAGTTTCCTTTCTTCTTCTTTTGTCCTTATTCTAAGACTTCTCTTTAGAATTTTAGATGTTCAGAATGATCCCACCAATCTCCTTTTTTCCCTTCTGCTGGAAGTAGGAAGCAGAAAACTCGTTTTTCCYTAGGTTTTTCAAAACCTGAGGATCTTCTGTAAAGGTGCCAGAGGCATGTGATGTGCATAGGCACACTCTGGGAATCCAGTGACTTAACAGACTCGGGCAGAGGGATTTAGTGAGATCCTGTCTCCAAGTAAAAATTCAAAGGAATTAGGATGTATCTCAGTTAAGTGCCCCTGGGTTCAAACCCCAGTACCAAGAATGAATAAATAGATAGATAGATAGATAGATAGATAGATAGATAGATAGATGAAAGTGGCATTCATTAAATTCAAGGGAAGTCTTTATCTCCCAAATATTTACCTAAGAATTTAGTAATTAGACATTCTTGTAAGTAAACAGGAATGATTCAAATGATAAAGGGGTAAGAGAGCCTCTCCACTGAATCACTGAAAAAGGAAAAGGAAGGAGAATTTCACTGGGTGCCATGTGTTGGGAGAGAACTGTGAAGTAAGTTCCAAGCAGAAGGAACATGCAGGCACTTGAGACCTCAGGACTGAAAGAATTTAAGAGACATGATGAAAGACAAGTGGGAGTACTTTGGGGCTGATCCTGCTGATTTTAGGAAAGATCTAGTATAGCTGTTCTTTATTTAGGCCTGCCTCTCTCCTTTTTTTAAAAAGAAAATCTTTTATTTGAGGGGGAGGAAGTAAAAGGAGAAAGAAGCTGTAAAACAAAGTCTGGAGGATGTTTCCTAGGGATGGGGAAGACCTAAATATTAGATAACAATATGGGAATAGATAGTTTTTTTTTTCTCTTTTTGAAACTAATGCAAACTCTTGCTAGCCCAATTTTTTAGATGTATGCCAAAAATAAAAAGTATTTTAATCTACTTTTGTTTTTTTGAGAGCCTTTTGATGTAGTAATGAAAAAATCTAGAGTTGTGGTCAGAGGGATGAGGGATAAAAACAGAGAATGCTGGGACTAGGGTAGTGGCTCAGTGGTAGAGCACTTGCCTAGCATGTGTGAGGCACTGAGTGCGATTCTTAGCACTGCATACAAATAAATAAAATAAACATCCACTGACAGCTAAAAAAAWATATATGTTAAAAAACAAAAAACAAATAACAACAGAGAAGCTGATAAAACACTACCTGGCATCAGCTTCAGAAGAATGGATTTGAACAAGAAGTTTTTTCCCTACTTTTATACTTTGGAGTTACTTCTCATTTAATTTTTTTCCTCTTCATAGAGTTATATTTTTAAGCAGCTGATAAATAGCATGAATTTCTGAGGAATATTGTTTAGAATGTTCTCAACGTAAATTGTTTATTGTATTGTTTATAGTTGTAATCAAATGCTTTTCTTGATTGTAAACTGGTGTCCTGATATTAAAATCAGTAACAATATCTCATATTTTATTTTACAGTTTATGTTTCATTTGAGACGATCTCCTTTCTTGCAAGTTTTTAACAATAGTCCCGATGAAAGTTCGTATTATCGTCATCATTTTATGCGTCAAGATCTGACCCAGTCTCTAATCATGATTCAGCCTATTCTGTATGCATATTCTTTTAGTGGACCACCAGAGGTAAGAGGAACACACACACAAATGTTCATTGGTCTTACTACTGTGATGTTTGGCATTAAAATAGAACAGTTAATTTAAAAAATATATAATTATTATATATAAGAATTGAATTACTTATTCACTTAAAAACATTTATGAGAGCTTTTTTTATACTAGATATCTTGGATAGGAATAGTGAAAGATCATTAAAAATAATATAAAAATATTGTAGAAGAGACTTTCAGATGATTTTGTCTGACCATTTGGTTGATCAAATCCTGTAACACCTATGATCATTCTTGTTTTTGGTACCAGGAATTGAACCCATGGGTGTTTAACCACTGAGCCACATCTCCAACCTGTATTGTGTTTTATTTTTAGAAAGGGTCTTGCTAAGTTGCTTAGGGCCACGCTAAGTTGCTGAGGCTAGCTTTGAACTTGTGATCCTCCTGCCTCAGCCTCCCGAGCTGCTGGGATTTAGGTGTGTGCAACCATTCCTGGCTTATGATTATACTTCATGTCTTTAACAATGTTCAGATGTGATTGTGATTCTGTAGTACTCAGCTTATTTCAAAATTTAGTGTCAGATAGTTATAGTATTCTGTCTAAACATAGTCTCATTTTCCTTTGGTCCTTTGAGAACATAAGATACAGTTGCCATATTTAAGACATATTTAGAAGAATGATGGCTTAACTTCCTTATCAAACTGTCTCATTTACTTTAACCTGTTATCAGTGAACAGTTTTTCTGTTCTATATTCTGAATTGTCTGTTTTACCACTTATAAAAATGTGTAATGACTATATTTGAAAGTAATACTTGAAGAAGGGTCACTATATAGAGAATACTTGTGATTTCTATTTGTTAGTGATCCTTCATGATACCTCATGTAGGAAATGTTTTATTTTGTTTGTGTAATTTTTAAACAATTTGTCAAATAGTTTCTACTAGGAAAATACATTTTAAAAATATGTTGGTTTGGCTATGTATTTTAATTTTGTAACTCTTTGAATCAAGAAAATAAGTTTTGTAAGTAACTTCTTGTTTCAGAGTAATATATATAAACTGTAGACACTGGAAAAATGTAGAATAGTGTCTAGAAGAAAATTGGAATCCCACCATCCCTAGTCCCTGCTCCTATCAAATTCCAACCATTTCATTTAATACATGAATCCCATTAACCTCATTTTCCTAAGGCTTTGCTTTGGAAATTATTTCTTTCTCTCCTGCATCACCACTTTTGTGTCTATCTGTATCATTCTCATTAACCTAGAAACTTTAACAGCAGTCAGGTTAAAAAAGAAAACTATCAAAACCCTCATCCTTTCCTTACATTTTCTCTAATTACCATCCATTTCTCTGCTCACAATTAAATTCAGAAAAGTTATTTWTTGTCTACACTTTCTCACTTGACATTCTCATCACATGTCATACATTTCCCTCTTTATAAAATATGGGTTGAACATGTCATATATTCTGAGTMAGTTTTTGTCCCTAACATTATATTAAAATGGCTCTTATCAAGACCACCATTATTCCACAACTTGCTTCAACAAGCTATTCACAGTATTTGCTAATAAGGACTCTCTTCTCAAAAACCTTATGCTTTAGTCTTTTCTGACTCCTACTGTTCTCACCTGGTATCCCCTTACTCATGAAGGTTCCTTCTAAATATTRGCATGCTTTTAGGCTCAATCTTTTGTTTTCCTTATCTTCTTCCCTTTCTAGGTGATGCAATCTAATCCCATGGTTTTAATTACCATCTTTGGGCATATGATACCCAAATTTATATCATCAGTTTGGTCCACTCCTTTTTATTCATATATGGAAATTTGCTCTATCCCAAGCCTTTCCATTTCATTTATTGCTGCCACTATTAAGCTTAAGAGTCATCCTTGATTTCTTCTTGACTCTATTTTTTGTTACCTCAATTTATAAAGATTTCTTAGAAAATTAAATTAAAATACACTGCAAGAATTTTKTAATAGTAAGATATTTTAAGTAATAAAAAATTTCAGAATCAAAAACTATCCTGGAGCTGAGTGTAGTGCTACATGCCTGTAATACCAGYAACTTGGGATGCTGARGCAGGAGAATACCAAGTTCGAGGCCAACTTGGGCAACTTAGTGRGACCCTTCCTCAAAATAAAAAATTTTAAGCAGGGCTGGAGGTGTAGATCAGTGGTAGAATGCTCCTGGATTAAACTACCAGTTCCACAATTAAAAAGAAAATCCTGGAAAGATCCATTTTGTATCTTTAAGTAGTTAATTTTTTCGTACCTCTCATTGTTTTCTCCATGTTAGCCGGTTCTTCTTGATAGCAGCAGCATTCTTGCAGATCGTATTCTTCTTATGGACACATTCTTCCAGATTTTGATTTATCATGGTGAGGTAAGATCCTATAGCCATTTAAGGCTATGCATGTAAAGTCTTTTTTACTCAAGGAAGGTTTTTAACTCCTATATTAAATATAGCTAGTGTTCATCTCTGATAATAAACTTTGATTTCCCTGTTTATAAAATACAGGTTGAGCCTGCCTAATCCCAAACTCCAAATCTGAAATACTCCAAAATCTGATACTTTGCACACTGACATGAGACAAGTAGAAAATTCCACCATGAAACTTTGTGTCATGCTCAAAGTTATTAAAAATATTATGGAAAAACTACCTTCAGATTGTATCTGTAATAACTATATATAACATAATGAATTTTTGTTTAGATTGGGCTTCCACCCCCAAGATATTTCATTATGTGTATGCACATATTTAAAAATCTGAAAAAAAAAAATCTGAAGTCCATAACACTTCTGGTTCCAAGGATCTCAAATAAGGAATGCTCAACCTGTGTGTATATAATGTGATTCTTCTTAATTTAGGTTTTTAGGTTTCAATCACAATTGACCCTCCTCTCTTTTTTTGTTGTTGCTCATTTGTCTATACATGTTTGTACAAATAGATTTTATACAAATCAAGTGCTGTGAATGTAAAAACATTGACGTGTGCATAGATATATGAGATTTTTGGGTTTTACCTTGAAGAGAGGGTAAAAGCCAGCCTTTGTCAGGAGACAAATTTTTGTTTTTCATTATTTCATGTGRTCATTATAAGTTATTTTAAAAAGTGTCCCACATGATCTTGAAAAGTTCATTTAAGGCATAAATGAATCAAAATTTATAACTTAATTGGAATGGTAAATGATTGAAAAGAGTAGAATATTTGAGAAACCATTAAGCTTTAACTCAGGTATTTAGCAGAACTCTATTCTTACTGAATTTATCCAGCCAATATTTAAGTACATCCACTGTATAAAAAAGTAGCATACTCTGGATGCTTTAGAAGAGATTGATTTTTCACAGACCTGCACTCAAGCTTATAGTCTAGTATTTTAGTAACTTATACAGATTTATTTTTAAATTTTCTTTTATTGTAAATTATTTTAGATTTGCATTGGAATAGTAAAGATGTTACTCAAAATATCCTTTTAAGTAATACTCTAGGATTTTAAAAGGTTTATTCATTATTATTATTTGATTATTTTTAATTGATTCCACTCACATCTCATAAACTTTTATTTTGTTTTTCTTTTAAAGGAGAAGAAATCTCCTAATTTTTTATTTGTTTACTTAAGAATATTTTATCTACTGAAATTAGTATTTTTAACTTTAAAAAATTGAGATAAATGGAATACTTTTCTGTCACTTTCTGAATATTACTTCCTTTGAAAAAAATCATAAGATTTTTAGTGGGCAAGAAATTTAAAGTAATTCCTTCACTTCTTTTAAAACTAGACTATAGCACAGTGGCGGAAGTCAGGATACCAAGACATGCCAGAATAYGAAAATTTCCGTCACCTTCTGCAAGCCCCAGTAGATGATGCACAGGAGATCCTTCACTCCAGATTTCCAATGCCAAGATACATTGACACCGAACATGGGGGCAGCCAGGTAAGTAGTGTAATTTTTTTGTGTGTGGTTGTTGATAGGTTTGCAATGAGGTATACTTACTTGTCTTATGACTTTAGTTTGAATAGATTGCTTTACAAGACAGAAAGAGGAGAAGACAAGAATGCTTTTGCAATAACTTTGAGAGCAAAGCATTAAGATGATTGACCAGTTGCCTAAAGCTACCAGTTTTCTCCATCTTCTGTTTCCAGTTCAGCTCTCATAACAAAGTTAGGATGGCATTGCAGTGGTTATGTCAGCTTTAATTGAGCTGACATATGTGAACAATATATGAACAGCTGGGGAAATAATTTAGTGTACCTTTCTAAAAACTGTAATTTTACTGATAAAGTCTATGAACATGAAGTTTCTGTTAACTTACTTTTTAATTTTTCTCATTCTGTCATTCCAGTTTCTAGAAAATAAATTGTCAATTTAAAGGAAATTTTTGTGGTATTAAAAGAAACTGTGTTTTTTTGAACTGTGAGGATTAAACAAAATATATATGCATATGCCTGTCTCATTTGATCCCTTCAAAAGGCTAGATTAGATGCCCTTAGCATACCTACATTTGTAAAACAGTTCTTATTTCTTCCTTGTGATTCTGTTTTAAGTTACAATAAATTGCTGGGCATGGTGGTGCATGATRCTGATAATTCCAGCTTCAGGGAGGTTGAGGCAGGTGATTCCATGAGACAAGTTCAAGGCCAACTGTGGCAACTTAGATCCTATTTCAAAATAAAATGAAAAGGACTGAGAATGTTTCCCAATGGTAAAGCACTCTGAATTCAATCCCCATTACTAAAGAAAAGAAGAGTTATGATAAATTAATTTTAAGTTATTATAAGTTTGTTTCATTACTCCTTAAAGGCAGGGATTATGCTTTGTTTATTGCTGTAACCCCAGCATGTAGCAAGTATTACAAAAAAGGTAGCAGATATCAACAACAATTATTATCAGAGATGATAACAATTATTGTTAGTGTTTTACTGTGTTCATAGTAGGAATTATCAGGTAATGAGAATTTGCAAGGCAATTTACACTCCTTATAAGATCTTCATAAGAATTCTGTTGTAATATCCATTTTTATAGGAGACTTTGGTTACTTGTGGTAAATGGAGGATCTGGGGTTTGAATTCTGGAGTTCTGGGCCAGTTTAAGGACCAGTGCTCTTGACTGTAATATGTGAATACTTAAAGAATAGAAAGAGATTTTTGAAATTTGAAAGATATGACTGCCCATGTTCTAGTCTCACTGATATCTCACTATGCATATTACTACTTTCCTCTTCTGTGCTGATTTTTTTCATGATGTAAACCATAGTGGGAAGATGGGTAAAACGTTGGGTAAGTTGTCTCATAGAATCACCTGTGATTTAAGAAAGTTTGAAATCATTGTTTAAAGAATTCAAGATTTTCTTGTTTTTAATTTGTATTATTATTTGGGATTTTGAATTTCTGAAACTGTTACAGACCAAGCATTCATTGATTTTTATACTAACCTTGTCATAAATGTTGTACACACAATTTTTATATGCTGAGTTTTAGACACAACAATTTGTTATAGAGATTATAAATGTATGATTTAGAGAAGTGGATATATTTATTATTTATATATAACATAGTAGCCTACACATTTAAAAATTTAGTTAATCTTTTTAAATGTTACATTTTAATAAAGTTAATTTTACCAACATATTAAATAAAATTGGTTTTAGATGGCATAATGTATTTATTCAGCTTATATTTACTTAAGCTATTTCTGATGGATAATATTATTCTTTGTTTTAAGGCTCGTTTCCTGCTTTCAAAAGTCAACCCTTCACAGACTCATAATAATATGTATGCCTGGGGGCAGGTAAGTATAAATGGCAGTCTTGGAAATTATTTCTTTATGTAGTCATAGTTTGTTATTTTAGTTTCATGAAAGCTTCATTTTTTTTCTCTGTGTATTTACTGATGATTTCTGTTGAAAAAGTAATAAAAAAATAGAATTAGTATTTGATGACACAATAAAAAATAAATAAATAAATTATCCTATCTAATAGGCAGAATCCCTTCATATTTCAATTCAGTATCACACCCACAAGCCAAAAAGCAATAAAGTATGAAAGCTAGGAAGTAATGATTGAAGTTTAATGTGAGGCCATGAACCACAAAAAGCCACCCTAAGCCAGGAGAGGCCAGGGATTATACTTGAGTAGGAGAGTCAGGAAGCCTAGGAACCGTTATTGATATATTTTAACTTTGTAGAAGTCTATCTCTTGATATAACATGTCAGTGTTTATTAAGTGTCCAATAAGGGCAGGACTCTGTATTGGTACTTCAGAGTATGTGATTGCTATTTCTGTCTGCCTTAAAAGAGTTTTTGTAGTCTGGTATTAGAGATAAGAYACATACCTCGGTAAAGTACAGGCAGAATATGGTAAATGTGCCTTTAGAAAAATATAAAGTAATACAATGGGTAGAAGAGGAAGAGGAGAAGAAGTCATGTGGTGGCAGCAGGAAAGGGTGGGTGATCAGAAAACAGTTCAGGGAAAAGGGATGTTTAATTTAGAGAATAATTATAATTTCAATATGTGGAAACTATGAGGAAGGGAATTCTATTTAAAGGATAGTATGGGCTAAAATAATAGAGTATGTGTAGAGATGAATAGTAGAACACAAAATTGGAAATGTGTTGTGTGACCAAATTGTGGAGGATCTTGAATGCCAGGTTGAAGACCGTGTTTGGTAAGCAGTAGAAAGTTGTTGAAGTTTTTGGACAAAGGGGCAAATTTGAGTCCTGTTGTGGTTGAAACTTAAAAAATGGGAGCAGTCTGTCAGTTGAAACTGTATTTATTGAAATAATTCAAGTGATGGGGCATAAAGATGATATTTCGAAGATGGACTCAATGGAACTTGATTGGAAATTGTAGGAAAGTAGCTATACACAAAAATCTAAATTCTGATTGGATCTTGAGCTAGGGAGATAACAATTATAAGGAATATAATTGGGAGGATTTTTGATATTGGAATATAGACTATATCAGATAATTAGACAATATTATTAATTTTTTTGAGTATGATAATAGTGTTGTGGTATATAGGAGTTGATGATCTTGGGAGATACATGCTGACATATTTAGGGGTCAAATGTCATGATGTCTTCAACTTGCAGAAATGAGTCAACAAAAAGAAGTAAAAAGAAAAGGAAAAATGTCTAAAATATATAGAAACAAAGCAAATGTGGCAAAATGCTAATCAGTGAAATTAGGTATACTATATACATCCTCAACTTTTCTGTAGGTTTGAATTTTTAAAATATAAGAAATTAAGGGAAAACAAGGGGTTTTGAGCCTAGGTATCTAGGAAAACGTGTACTAGTAAGTGGGAGTTGGGTGGAGAGARAATGTTTGATTCTAGACACTGAGTTTGAGATGTCATCTAGATGACCATATTGGGTAAGTTGTTGGAAATTTTGATTTGTGGTGAGGCCAGGATATGAAGGCTGATTCTGGACAGGTGATACTTAAAGTCATTACAGTAAATGCTTATCTGAGAGTAGAAAATGAGACAAAGCACAATGAGACAAAACCTGGAGCAAGTACATGTGATAGGAGTGTTTATAAATAATCAGAGGTAGAAGGAGATTGAAAAGAATCCTTTGTCATAAAGGGAAGAACTTTAAGGAAGAAGAAGAGGGTAATGGGCACTGAAGTGCTACAGGCAGTTGAAGGAAAATACAAGGAGTTTGATAAGGAAGTCATTTGTATCCTTCAGTAGACAGTTTTAATATAGTGTTTGGATAGAAAAGAGATCATAAGGAAAATAGATTACAAAACAGATTAGAGTGGGTGGTAAAAAGGTAGAAATTAGAAGTATAAATGATCCTTTCATAAATTTAGCCTGAGGGTAAATGGAAGGATTATTGTTATTAGTGTAAGAACACAGAATTTATTTGTAGACGAAGGTGACAATCTGGGGATGAAAAAAAAAAAGACAGATTTAAGATATAATCACAAGCACTATAGGCTGGTTAAGCATTGGTAAGGAGGCAGGACATTTATTTTTGCCAAAGAAAAAGGTGAGAGGAAGGGTGAAGATAGATTTTTGAAGTGGAGAGAAAGTTCACATAACTGCCTGTTTCTTTTCAGATTATTTGCTAAAGTGAGATAGACAGGGTTAAGGACTAGAAAAAAGGAAAGATTAAAAACAATTGTGAGGAATATAAGACAACAGGATAAAAATGGTCTTTTATAGCAGTGGTGAGGGCCCATTTTATTTACTAATAATTTCTTTTTTTTTTTTTTAAGAGAGAGTGAGAGAGAGAGAGAGAGTGAGAGAGAGAATTTTTAATATTTATTTTTTAGTTCTCGGCGGACACAACATCTTTGTTGGTATGTGGTGCTGAGGATCGAACCCGGGCCGCACGCATGCCAGGCGAGCGCGCTACCRCTTGAGCCACATCCCCAGCCCCTACTAATAATTTCTAACAAGCTCCCATCATGTTCTTTAACCATACTTTGTAGTTTAGGCAGTGTGTTAAAGATGAAAGATTTTGGGTGATTGAGGATGGAGAAAAGGAGGTAGAATTTTTAGAGCAATGTTAATTGAGTAACAATGGGGTCCCATCTGGGTAGAAGACAAATGATGCCATAATTGGGTTAGGGCCCTTTGAGTATAGAGTTGTCTCAAAAATTTTTCCTTGATTTCTCTACGTTCACTGTTTCTTTTGGTGATTGCTTCCACTCTTACAGTGGAAGCAATCATTTGTCTCATTTTCTACTCTCAGCTTTTATGTGAAAGCTTACTTGCCAATTTCCTTCTTTTGTTTAGCTTCACACTGAGCTATAGACTTTAATTTTTTGAACTGCCTACTTGAATTTCCTGTAGATATTTCACAAGCAGAATGTCCCAACCTTACCTTTCTTTTTAAATTATCTTGTTCTTCCTGATTTCCTGTTTTTAACAGAAGGCCTCACTATTCCCTGAATTCCCAAGGCTTCAAACTTTAGTCATTTATAGTTTCTCCTTTCTGCCCCTAATCACTAGGATTATAAGTATGTGCCACCTGGCCTGGCTTGGCCCTATTTCTTCTATCCATTTTCAATCTCCATGTCATTATCCAAAGTCAGGTAGTGGTTACTTTTCACATGGACTGTTGGAATTCCCTACTAACTGGTTTTAGTGTTTCAGCTTTTTTCCTCCATTTTGTCAGTGGCCAATGAGTCTCCTTAATGTAGTAGTCCTGAATATCAGCTCTAAAATTCTCAATAATTCCATATTAAATTACATAAGAACCCTTTGTATTGTCACTGAGAGCCTTTCTGGTATTACCTACATTATCTTTTTCCACTGTTAGCCACCACCACTGAGGTCTTTTAGCCAAACTAGACTTCTCCTTTTTTTTTTTTTTTTGGCAATACTGGGGATTATACTCAGTGGTGTTTTACAAGCTACATTCYGAGCCCTTTTAATTTTTTATTTAGAGAACAGGGTCTTACTAACTTGCCAAGCCTGGCTTGAATTTGTAATCCTCCAGCCTTAGTTCTGAGTTTTATTATAGGTGTGCCAGCACTATGCCTGAATTTTGACTCTACTTTGAATATAATGAACATGTTCTTATCTCTTTGTGATTTTTGTCCTCATCACCATTTAGACACATCACATTCATTCCTCCAATCTCAGTTCATAGTTCACTCCATGAAACCTTTTATATGATTGTATAACTGGATTTGTGTAATATCCTTGCCCCATCATCCCTTTTTCCCCATTTGTTTCCTATTGCACTTATTTCACATGTTAGAGTATAAATTACTCAAGGGCAACAATTCTGTTATTTTCATTTTTAACTTCCCCTGGTACCTTAAAAACATAGTACATATTGAATATGATAGATTTGTACAGAAGAGTAGAAATGGGAGTGTGGGAGATCTGAGGAGATGGTTAGCAGTTAATGAGATTTTGTAGTATAGATGAATAAGTTAAATTTAAGGTCCAAAAGTCTTGAAATTTTGGGGAGATTTGTATAACAGGCGAAGGACCATAATCTTGGAAGTATGGAAAGGGTCGGATCACATATGAAAAAAAAATTTATGCCTAAATAATGCATATACGTATATAACCTCAGTATCACTTCACTCTGCTTCTTTGCTGGGGGAACAAAAAGCCAGATGTAATAATATGGTATAGAAGAGGTTAAGGAAACTTTAAAATAGTATTTGTGAGGGTTCGCGCATCTAATGTCCACAAGAGCCACGTAAGTAACAAAGTGGCTGGATGTAAAAAAAAAAAAAAAAAGACCCTGATGCTCAGTGTTAAGAAGCAATACTTAGGAGTGGGGTGGTCTATGGCAAACTAAGGTTTGTGGAAAGAATACACATTTCTTCTTTAAAGGAGGTAGCTGCTTTCCCCCATCCTTATTATCATTCACATAATTCAGTTAAAAAAAAAGTGGGAGTCTACACTTTGCAGACCAAATAAAATATACTCTATATAGCTGGATTTTTCATACAAAAGTATGGTTTAGTCCATGGAACTAAATAATTCATGGAAATGATGACTTCTCATTTCTGTTTTTTTTCTGGGTTAAATTACAACATGGAGATATACTTTTGGTAGACTTTTTTTTTTGTACCAGGGATTGAACCTAGGGGTTCTTAACCACTGAGCTACATCCCCAGCCCTTTTTATTTTTTCTCTTAAGCCAGGGTCTTGCTAAGTTGCTTAGGGCCTCATGAAGTTGCTGAGGCTGGCTTTGAATTCACAATCCCTAAGTGAAATCCAGAGTTGCTGGGATTACATGCATGCGCATCCATGCCTGGCTGTTTTGGTAAACTCTTAATAAAGGAAAGAGCTTGTCCAATTAAATATGGAAAAGCATCATTCTGAAATGGTAATGAGAATGTAGATTTTGCCAGTTGCCTAAGTTTTCTTTGTCTGCAATTTCTTGTCTACAGAGTTTTAATAATAGCCCTTGCTTGCTGTACTCTGTAAATATTAGCTATTAGTTTTCAGTGTTAATCATTGGGAAAAAGTCTTTCCCTAAAGATATTTAACATAGGAAAGAATGCCTAATTTCAACTTTGAAGTTTAATTAATGCTATCTGAAAGTAGGGCAATTAGAAGCATAAACAAGAGCCTTCACGTCTTCCTTGACCTATAATTTTTATAAGAGAAATTGTTAGTATTTTAATAATCATAAGTTGAGCAGTAGTATGTTTCAGTCACAGTGCTTTAGGTTTTCATCTCCTTTACCCCATTTTAATTATGAAAAACTTTTCAGAAGAGGAAATTGAAGTATCATAGTTTTCTTTTTGTCAGAAATCGAGAACATAGTGATAAGTATTATATGTGAATGTCCTGAAGAGGGCACCACTGCAATACTGCTTTCTGTGGCATTCGGGACCTCTATTGGTGTAATGCTTCATATGCTAAATGTTGTAAAGCTTGGGCCTTTCTGTAATTTTAAAGAGAAAAAAGACCCATTTGAAAAATGAGCTAACTACTGATTTTTGATATAATTTGAGTTTAGCCTTAGTTTTTATAATTTCAAATAGGATCTCTGCAGTGTATAAATTAGGCAATCTGTATCTTTTATCTTGAATGGAAGAAATAGATCTAGAATTGGGTGAATTGAGGTGAAAAACATTTAAAATGAAAAAAAAATCATAGGAAGAGAACAAGCAAGAACCACCAAGTTATTATTAGTTTGGGTCACATTTTAGGGGCTTCTGATAACTCTGAATGTAGAAGAAGGAAAAATGTTTTTGTGGATACAAAGTAATAGCTTTTTCAAATGAAGTAATGGTGAAAGTAGCTAAAACACATATGTCTATTGTATGGCACAGATTTTTCTGTTTGCTTTATACTACTTCACTCATTGAATCTTTTCTTTTTTTTTTAAATATTTATTTATTTTTAGGTGTAGATGGACGCAACACAATGCCTTTTATTTTTATGTGGTGCTGAGGATCGAACCCAGGTCCCGCCCGTGCTAGGGGAGCGCTCTACCGCTGAGCCACAATCCCAGCTCCATCATTGAATCTTTTCAAGAGCTGTTCGAGATAGACCCTGTTATCCTTATTTGACAAATGTGGAAATTAAGACACAGGTCAAATCACTTCCTCAAAGTCACATGAATACTAAGTGGCAGAACCAGAATTTGAGCTCAGGCATCCTGGCCCATAAGCTCAGCACTTTAATCCCTCCCTTCATTGCCAAGTTTCTCAAGTTCTTATAAATTAACATGACTTATTCAGAAGAGGTAATAACATGTCTGCGGCTTTGCCAGGCTAGACCCACAGGAGCAATAAATTCATATCTAACATTTGCTACTATCTTGCTGATCTCTGAAATTACTTTGTGTTAGACTCTTTCCATTTATTAATAAATGGAATTTGAGTATGAGAAGAATATTTCTAAAAATTCAGATATAAAATCCACAAATACTTTCTCTTACAGTAAAATTTCATTGTTAATGGATTAGGTTTTCAAGGTCATTTTGTCAGTAGAGTTTTTGTTAAAATATTAAGAATTTTGGGGGCTGGGGTTGTGGCTCAGTGGCAGAGCGCTTGCCTTGCACATGTGAGGCACTGAGTTCGATCCTCAGCACCACATAAAAATAAACAAATACCAAAAATAAATAAATAAATAAATAAACAAACAAACAAATAAATAAATAAAAGAATGTTGGTAATTCTGGTTAATTTCTTGAAACTTACAGAAATCAATTCAATGACTTGAAAACTTAGTAAGCATAGTTTATTTTAAAAATGATGCCGTGAATTTGCTTCCTTCTAACTGGTGTTTCTGTTAAAATGCCAGGGAGAGGGATTTTGGAGGTTAGGCTGTTTTAAAGCCCTAATCCTCTAATCACCTCTCAGTCCTCTTGATAACCAGTCTCCATCCTGAGACCTCTCATTTTCTAGCATAAACTCAGATGTGATGGGAATAGTCCATGAATCACAAAGACAATCAGGAAATTTTGAGGACTTAGATAAGAATTTCCCTCTCAGAAACCAGGAGCATAGGCATTCTTCTGCTTAAAATGATTCCCTTGTCTATTTTAAACATTTTCTTATGCAGTCCAAGGTATCACCCTGTGTTTTAATCACAGYGCATACTTCTCTTTTCCTCTAGGAGTCTGGAGCACCCATCCTCACAGATGATGTTAGTTTACAAGTGTTTATGGATCACTTGAAGAAACTTGCTGTGTCAAGTGCTGCTTGACATATGAAACATGYTAAAGACACTTAAGAAGATGAAATATTTTAGTTTCATTTTTTTCCCTTTTTCAGTTTGTCTGTGGAAACCAACAGATCTCTCTAGACTTTTTTTTTGTATCAGTATGGTTTGAGAAAACATAAAAATGTTCACGTTTGTAGATAAAGCTGGAATATAATGAGAGCATTGAGAACAAATTTGTTTTGCTTGCCACAGTATTATAACTGGTTTTAGAATTTCAAAGTTTTTATAAATTATGTTTAAGAGTAAAAATAGAGTCTGCCTTGTACAACAGATATAACTTATTTGTATATTGCAGACAAATCCAAGGTGGCACTGAATATCCTCACTGACCTTTTAAAAACTTATTTAATTTTAGCCAGAAAGGAACAAATCAATAGTTATGATAAATGTGAACATTTTTTCTTATTTGTTGAATTTTTTTTAGTGATTTTCAGCATTTATGCATACACTTTTTCCTGTAGTTTTTCTGGTAAGGCAGATTTACTTTATGATTTGTTTAGAAATTATCTGACTTTATAATGGCAATTTTCATGAAGATAATTTAATGTTTTTGATTATTTGRAAAAATTATTTAGAGATGAAAAATTTTGGTGGGGGTAACATTCCCACAAATGACAATAAATGTGAAATTCCTACAAAGTACCTAACTTATGTGACTAACCACAATAATTTCTTTTTAAAAAGGATACAGAAAATAAAGCATTTGGTTAGAGTGCATAAAGAAAGCCTTTGCAGTAAAATGACTATTGTAACTACTAAACCAAATTTGGTTTTCACTACTCATTTTGTTGTTTTCCCTTCTTTTTCTGTGGTAAAWTTTACATTATATCCTTCAGTATTTTAACACTATTTTGGGAGTTTACATTTCTTATTTCTGCTTCCTTTGTGTGAACTTTATTAAGTTGTGGTTCTTATTGAAACAGTATTATATAATGTTTAATTATGTCACATGATGATACTTAGTTCTGTTTTGATTTATTCATCAGTAACATTCGCTTTTACCTTTTAAAGTTTACTTATAGCAGATGTTTACATTGCTAAAGCCAGATATGTTTTGACAATGAAATTTACATATCAAGTACTGCAAATGAAAGGTGGTGCGCTGATATATGCTTAGAAAGATAGTTCTGATGATTGTTACTTGCATGAACACAATCATATGATGGTAAAACAGAAAACTTATAATTGTTATATTCAGTTTGCTTAAGTAAGTTCCATTTTATTTGAATTGAACTGTGCTAGACCAAAATGCCAATAAAATATACTTTTCTCTGTGTTTCTGGTTATCTTGAAATCTAATAAAACCTAAGAAGCCTGTTGTAACATTAGAGCACTTAAAAGATATTTTGACTTACACTTAGTAATTGTGTGTATTTATGGGGTACAGTGTGATAATTTCATACATGAATATAATATGTAATAATCAAATTAAGGTAATTAGCATTTTCATCCCCTTAAAATTCATGATTTGTGTTGGGACACTTTGAACTCTCTTTTAGTTCTTAATAAAATATATACTAAATGGTTGTAAACTACAGTCACTCAACTGTGCTGTGGAACACTGGAATGTGTTCTTCCTATTTAACTGCGTTTTGATGACTATTATCCAATCTCCCTCCATCCCCTCTTCCTAACTTCCTAACTTCTAGTGACTAACTTCCTAACTTCCCAACTTCTAGTGACTACTATTTAGGTTTCCACATGTGAATAAGAATGTGTGGTATTTGTCCATCTTGCCTGCTTTATTTTGTTTAAAATGTCCTCCAGTTTCATCCATGTTGCTATAAATGATAGGACTTCATTATTTTTAAGGACTCAATAATATTTCTCTCCACACACCCAAAACAAAATGAGAGCATTTAAAATCTTCTGCTAGTAGAGTAAAATATTACTCATTTCAAAAATAACTATGTTGATATATTTCACATATCATACAATTAACTCATTTGAATTAAACAATTCAGTAATTTTAAATATTTTCATGTATTTCTATAACCATTAACACAATCAATTTTAGAGCATTTTCATCATGCCAAAAATAGTTATTCATTCTTTATGTAAGACAAGTATGCTTCAGTGTTTTTTTAGACTGAGGAAAGATGTTGTAATAAAAACACCTGCTTTTTTGCTTGTACCTTCAACTTCTGTTCATTAAGAATGCTCTTGTATTTTGTCTTAGTGAAAAGATGGTATTTTAGCCCTAAGTGGTTCTTAATGTCTAAATCAAGTACAGGTTAAATGCTAAAGTGCCTCTGTATTTAAGGATAAATGATGAACAGATATATCATCATACCCATTTAGCTTGCTATTTAAAAGAAATCATTTTTGTGTGTATTTAAGCTATTAGTAAATTACWAGATATTCAGATGGATGGTTGAAAAAATGTTTAATCCTTTGTTTTTGTTTGGTYTGTTTTAACAAAGTACAGTAGATTATATATAATAAACAACAGAAATGTATTTATTAGAGTTTGGGGAGTTTAGACGCTAGATGATACACCTTTTTGCTGTGTCCTAATGAGGCAAGGGGCTATCCAGCTCCCTCAGGCCTCTTTTTATAAGGCCACTAATCCATTGACAAGGGTACAGCCCTTATGCACTAATCAATTTATAACATCCTACCTCTTAACCACATTGGAGATTAAGTCTCAAATAGGAGTTTTGAGGAGGTTCCCAACATTCAGACCAAAGCACACATTTGTTTATATTTTTATTTTAAAAAATTTAAAAAAAAATTTATGTGTTCCTTTTAGTTATACATGACAGTAGAGTGTACTTTGACATATCATACATACATGGAGTATAACCATTTTTGTGGATGTACATGTGTAGTTATACTGGTAACTTTATAGTTACACTGGTAACTTTATAGTTTCATATATGAACATAGGAAAGTTATGTCTGATTTTACTGTCTTTCTCATTTCCAATTTTCTTTCTCTTCTCCCCACTCCCCTCCATCCAAACCGATGAACCTCCACTCCTCACTTCCCCCTGACCATTTGTGAGTCAGTATCTGCATATCAGAGAGAACATTCGGCCTTTGGATTTTTTGGGATTGGGCTTATTTCACTTAACATGATAGTTTCCAGTTCCATCCATTTTCCAACAAATGCCATACTTTCATTCTTTATGGCTGAGTAATATTCCATTGTGTATATGTACCRTGTTTTCTTTATCCATTAATTTGGTGAAGGGTACCTAGTTTGGTCCCATAGTTTAGCTATTATGAATTGGATTGCTATGAACATTGATATGAACGTATCACTAGAGGACTCTGATTTTAARTCCTTTGGGTATATGCTAAGGAGTGGGATAACTGGGCCAAATGGTGGTTTTATTCCAAGTTTTCTGAGAAATCTCCATACTGCTTTCTGGAGTGATTGCACAATTTGCAGTCCCACCAGCAATGTATGA